TAAAAACGAAAAACCTTTTAAAGGGTGCGCAGTCCGCAAAGTGTTAAGAAACTTACAACCAATTTTAATATGGGGAAAATGCTTAATCTTTACCACTGTGGTATAGTGTCAGGTCCTGGCAACTGGATTTTAAATTGGGGTAACAGCTTACTATCCAGAAGCAGGGGACTTTAAATCTGCAGGCACTACAAGGTTGCTAGTCACATTTCAGCTTGGGGGTAACAAAAATGTAACACTAGGTCAGATGGGTCATACAAGTGCAGTGCTGCAATAATGTAACACAATGGCAGTGAAGTTTAAATAAGAAACACATTATCAATAACTCCTGCCACTAGTGCTTCTGGGAGCAGATCAGTCTGCTAACATAAAATTCTTGCATACGAGGGGGGACCCAAAAATAACCGGAAACGACCTGTTGCGCGCGCATGCTTTGTAGTTACAAGTTGTGCTGCTAGGTGGTGTTAGCTGGGGGTCTCCCGCGACTGTTAGTGAGCTGGCGTCAGTCTGAGTTAAGTGGTTTGTCNTGACCAACTTTCTGAGGAAACGAACATCTCATGGAGCACGGTCCAGCGAATTTTAACCGAAGGTTTGCACATGAGACGGGTGTCTGCAAAATTTGTTCCTCGCTTGCTCGGAGATGACCAAAGAGAAAACCGTGTGAATGTTTGCCGCAACTTGAAGAGTGAAGTGCAGTTTTCCCTAACATAAACCAAAATTTCACTCACACTCTTTGTTCCCTCTGGTCGGCCATCTCACTAATCGCCAAAGGGTTGAAACAGGAACGCACAAAACAGAGCACCACGGACAAACCACTTAACTCAGACTGACGCCAGCTCACTAACAGTCGCGGGAGACCCCCAGCTAACATCACCTAGCAGCACAACTCGTAACTACAAAGCATGCGCGCGCAACAGGTCGTTTCCGGTTATTTTTGGGTCCCCCTTCATACATAATATAACTCAGTACATTAGGACATCAAGAACAGGAGAGGACAATGAGCATGTCTGCCTGTAAAGTATTAGCACATGATACACAAGTCATTGCCATACCAAACAAGTACCAAGTTCGTGATGCTGACACCATGGAAAAATAAAACATTACAGTATTCTTCAAATATATGCAGCTGAAAGATATCACATAATGCTCTCTATTCTGCTGAAGGCTGCTTTAAGACATACCACATACACAGACCCAAAGTCTACTGAAGATGGGACATTTTTATTCTTTTTCAGAAATGTGATTTTTTCAAGCAGTGTGAAAATTCACATACACTATTAAAATCTTCAGCATTGTTACTCAGAATTTAAATTCTTGGTTGTGAATGTGTTATGTATCTTGTTACTATAAATTGCATTAAACTGAAAAAATTTTATACATGTCTAAAAAACTGAATTCCTAAGGCTACAGTTTGAAAACTAAATTATGTATTAATGAAGCTGATGCTTGATCTTGTGCATTATAGTGAAACCCCCATTTAATGTTCTTCTGAGGACCAGTGGACTGGAATACCAAACCGAGGAAAATGTTAAATGGAGAATTATTGACTTATCACTGAAAATGAATGTTAAAAGTGCAAAAATCTCAACTCAACAGACACAAAATGGGAGTTCAACTGTATCTCACTGTACTTTGTAAAAGTATCAGGAAAGGAAATTTCAAATTCAGTTACACAAATTGAATCCAACTGAATAATGAGGAGAGAATTCTATTACAAAAAGGCTCACCTGGGCTAAGTCTGCTGCATTGATATTTGATTGGCCAAGATTCAAGGTTTGACCACGCCTCGCTTTCAATGTGTCCTTGCGAAGCTCCTGAATCTGATTCTGCACATGACAAAATGATTGAGAGAGATGTTGAAAATAAATATAGCACAGGCTCTGTCAGTTACAATCAAAGAATTTATCTCATCCCCAGACAAGAACGGCATAACAGTATTAACAATTAAAGAGACCAGAGGAACAGAAATCCTATCATTTTCTCAAACAATACAAAATGCAGTACTGTTAGTATTTCTGGCCATCATCCTACACTGCAGCCATGACTTAATGATCCCTGGTCCCACTTGCATGTGATGTAGCGAACCCAAACTTACACCAAAGACTAAAAACTGTTGTCACATCTTCATTTCAGCTCCAGATGCTGAAGCCTTCAAATGCAGCCAGGAACACTGTGATGGCAGCACAGAGTTTGTAAATAAATCACAGAACTGGCCAACACATGACTGTCAGCTGACAGCATTCAGAGGCACAGAGTGCTGATAGCAGCAATCATTAAACAGTGGCTGGACTGCAATATTCCAAAATCAATACAACACTTCAAAAAGTGGCTGTTTCCTTCCTCAGGTGATAAGATGGGGCATACATACCCAGTTGAGTCTGACAGACCAAGTTATTCTCATTTAGTTTGTCAAATTAAGATGATGGACAAGTCCAGAATTCCAACAATACTAACTGTAACATACCATCAACAGAATCCCTTAGAACTGGATTGCTAAGTACTGTTCCTTATTTAAAAAAAAAAAAGCATAAAGTTCTGGTATTCAGAAGTGACAGTTCAGGTAAAGCTGCGCAGTGGATGGGCAGGTCCTTTCGTGAAAGTTGTGGGGTGTTGTGATTAGTCACTCGTTTGTTTTCAGTGCGAGCAGACGTCTCAAGTTCAGTTAAAAGCATTCTTCCTTGTACAGTCAAATTAAAAAGTTTTGACTCTTGGAGTCATATTTGAGTGTATTATTCTCTATTTACTGTATTAATATTTTGTTTGTTTATTGTTTATTTTTATTCACTGATTTTCTTTTTTGTTTATTTATATCTGTACATTTTTTCTATCTCCTTTAACATGCCAGCTACACGAAGTAAATTGAGTGGAAAAGTGTTGCATTCACAAACAAGAGAAATGTATATAAGTATATGAAAGAGACTGGGCCAACAATTACAGTGAAGAACATAGAAGTAGAAGTAGCAAAGGCAACAGGTGTATCGGAAAGTAGTGTCAGAATAATAATAAGAGAAACAAAAAACATCGAATCTGGGGCTTCCACTTTCTTTTCGACACCCCATAAAGAAAGACCTAGGAAATCTCCACTAACCACTTTGGACGAGTTTAATGAGTCTGTGGCGGGAAGAACAATTAATGACTTCTACATAGTCGAAAAATGGAGACCTACCCTGAAAAAAGTTCATGAAAAGTTGAAGAGAACATTAGATTTTCAGGGATGCAACTCCACATTAAAAAATTATTTTGAAACTGGGGTTCCACTGGAAGAAAACAAAAAATACTCAGCAGACACTGGTGGAACGATATAATATCAGAGCCATGCGTCTTCAGTATTTGCAGCAAATTAAAGAATATAGGGAAGAGGGCCGCCCAATCATCTACAAGGTGTCCCCCAAAAGTGATGAAATATATTTCTTTCCCGCGCTCCTACTGTTCAGAGCGCGCTGGAACCGGTTGGGTTGGGGGGGGGAGGCCTTTAGCTTCACAGTGCGCCCAAGGTCAGTCTGCTCGAGCATTGGAGGCGTCAGTATCGCAGATTTAGTGGACCTGTGTTTTGTGACCACGTCACAGCGCGCGATGGTGGATACTTTCGAACAACGTTGGGCGGTCAAGTTCTGCACAAAGCTCAACAAAAAAGCTGCCGAAACTCACGAACTGCTTAAGCAAGCCTACGGGGAGTCTGCTCTATCATACGTGCAAGTTACAAGGTGGGTGAAGAAGTTTAAGGAAGGCCTGGAAGGAGTGGAAGATGACCCCCGCTCTGGACAGCCATCAACAAGCCAAACTGATGAAAATGTGACTCGTGTGTGTGATTTGTTGAATACTGTCTGTTGAATGACTCCCCGGTTGTTAGCCGACACTCTGAACATTCCAAAAACCGTTGTGCATCACATTGTTATGGACAAATTGAACATGCGAAAGGTGTGCGCCAAGCTGGTCCCCAAATTGTTGATGGACGAGCTGCCACAGCCACCCTACAGCCCCGACCTAGCTCCGGCCAACTTCTTTTTGTTCCCGAGGATCAAGACTGCACTCAAAGGACACCGTTTTGAAAGCATTCAGGCTATCCAAACTGCCGTGACAACAGCTTTAAATGAGGTTCCCGTCGAGGCCTTTGAGGGGGTGTACGGGGCATGGGAGAGTCGGTGGAAAAAAATGTGTAGATGCTCATGGACAGTACTTTGAAGAATATTAACACTTTGTACCGATATCATCAATAAATTTAATATATATATATATTTCATGACTTTTGGGACACACCTTGTATATGGATGAAACCTATATTCATTCATCACACACCACGCCATATGCATGGAGTGATGGATCCATCCAGGGATTATTTTCCCCCCCATGTCCAAAGGCCAACGGCTCATGCAGGGGGAGAGCAAGGTTTCATCCTGAATGCCTATGTCCGCTTCAAATCCCACCAAAACACAGGAGACTACCACAGTCACATGAACTACGCCAATTACGAAAAATGGTTAAAGGAGCGACTTATTTCTAACCTTCCTCCAAATTCTGTCCTTGTCATTGATAATGCTCCCTACCATAATGTACAACTACAGAGCCCCTAACTCAAATTCAAGAAGGGATTTTATGATATCCTGGCTAAAATATCACCTTCCACATATTACCTTCAATAACACTGATTTTTCATCATTACGGAATCCAGACATATATAATATGATCCTACCACTCAAACCAAAATACCTTTCCTATAAAATAGATGGAATCTTTGAAGTACACAATCACAATATTTTACTACTCCCTCAGTATCACTCAGAACTCAACCCAATTGAGTTAATATGGGCCACCGTAAAAAATTGGGTTGCTCAAAGCAATACCACATTTCAGATGGATGACATCATTAAATTGGCAGACCAAAAATTGGCTTCAATAACTGCAGAAGAATGGCAACGTAGGTGCCAACATGTAAGGAACATCGAGCAACAATTAATGACACGGGAAGGCCTTTTGGATGCAGGACGGGAGTTCATCTTCCACGTTGGCAGTGATAGTGATGACAGTTCTGACGATAGCTCCGATTCATCTGGTGGTGACGAGGAAGGTCAGGCATGTGGAGATATCTATGCAGACACTGCCGGTGTTGCCTCTTTAGAATAGACCTGTGTAATATGTAAATAAACTCTTCATGTATATAACAGTGAAAAGTGTATAGTGTATAGTGCATAATAGTCTGCCATTCGGCGCTTAAAACTTAACATCGGATGTGTGAACATCAACGAGAATAAACTGCCAACACTATGCAACACAGTGAGGTAAGAAATTATTTCCTTTTGAAAAAGCCTGTACTGCATTCCCCTCCACACTTGTCTGCATGCTGGAGCTCTCCCCACCACTACCAGCACTTCTCCTACTCCGCATCAGAGGACCGTCACTTCTATGTACTACTACTATACCTTTATTTCTTCCATAACCAACTTATTCTCCTTAAGCCCATCCACAACAGCCTTGCTTTGTTCTAAGAGTGCCTTGTTTTGTTCAAGTATTGTGTGTATGACTGCATCCTTGCTGTGCACAAGATGCCTGATCTGAGCATCAAGACGTTCTGGACTTGGACGTGCTTCCTGAAATCACACATTACCTTGCTGGGTATTAACATATAAACACTGTAAGGCATTATTATAGTCATATATTATATGCCGACTCAATCAGCACCCTAGATATAGAGGCACTTCCATCGGAGAAAAAATGACCAGAGCAGATTATCATTCACCTCCATATTTTTAATAGCAAAGCCAAAGTATACTACCAACCTTTATTGGAGGCCACGCCATAGCTCAAGCGGTTAGTCGCTGGCTTCCCACTGTGGTGGCCCGGGTTCGATCCCGGGTCTGGTCAAGTGGGATTTGTGGTGGACAAAGTGGCAATGGGGCAGGTTTTCTCTGAGTACTTCGGATTCCCTTGCCAATCTTTATTCCACCAATTGCTCCACAATCACCCTCGCCTATCATCTGGGGCTGGTACAATAGGCCAGAAGTGGCCACAGCACAAGGGACTTAGTCCCACCCCACAAGAAATAAAAAAAAAAAAAAAACTTTACTGGCTGTTGGTTGCATTATTGCAATGGGGCCTGCAAGCAGACTGCCGCTTGTCAGCAAAATTAGTGCCAACTTTAGTGGATAGAGGATGTCACGTGGTCAGCACAACGAATCCCCATGACCATTAATCTCAGCTTTCTAGACCAGAGGTGCTACTTTTCCATTCAAGCAGCTCCTCAATTATCCTCATGAGGCTGAGTGGACCCTGTTCCAGACCCACTACTTCTCAGAAAATCTGGTAGAGCTGGGAATTTGACCTGGAACCTTTGGATCTGTAGCCAGGAACTCTGACCAGTAGACCACAGAGGTGCCCCAAATTAAAATACAGCCACCAGGTGTATAACAGGGGAAGATTTAAAATCCCCATATCCTTGGATGAAAAACTAATACGTCAGAGTTAAAATTCAGCCATCATCACCATAGCATATTTAAAAAAAAATGGTAAAAATGGCCATTCTACAGATTTGAATAAAACTCACATAAGGTCTGCAGAAAATGATTTATTCAGTCCAGACAATCTGTCACAGAGAAAAATACGTTTCACTCAGCATGTGAAATTAGGCATTTTACATTCGCAGTACCCATCCTTAGAAAGTGTCTGATGATGTTAAAACTGAATTGGTCAAATCCACATAATAACCACCAAATTCTCCAGATTCAAATGCACGTTAGATTACCACATCTGGAACCAACTCGACGTACAAAAGCCAGGAAGACCCAGCTTAGTCACAGGAGTTATGGCAAAAAGGTGAAAATGTGTGGCCTTTGATATCACGACACAACACCAGTCAGTCACCAACACACAGAAAAGACATACTAAAGCTATAATGAAAAAACAGGGTTCCTAATCAACATTAATTGTCATCAGAGAGAAAATGATTTCGTTATAAATTTAAAGCTTATTTTCATATCAAAATGGAAAATATTTATGTGTTGAACAAATGAACTGAGCTGAATAAATCTTTTTCCACACACACTTACAATTTTCATTCAAATATGCATAGCTGTTCATGTATATCTTAAAAAAATCTGTGCTGATATTATGCTGGTCATCCTACTAGAACCATGAAAAGTGTAGGAAGAAACCAGCAGTGTTGGCTGGCTTAGGACATACATTTAGCAATTAACTGACAATCCTTTCTTCAAGGGCAACAAAGGTTAATGTTAATCTCCAAGACTCCCAATACCCTCCCAAACAAAATGATGAGCTACCATAATAACTCTTAGAACTATTACATTTTTAACACAAATCTCACCTTTAAGGGAATGAATACTAGCATAAATTCATATACTGTAACTACGACAACTCTCGTATCAATTTAATACCAACTTCACTGTACATAACTACATTTACTAAATTTAAAATACTTAGACAAGAACCAACATTTGATTAATATATCACATTTATATAGGCACTAAAGATCCAGTATATGCGCACAAATTTCTAGATACACTGTAAGAATATACGAGGATAAGTTAATGAGTAAGTTACAAATGGATATAGCACTTAAACAAATAAAGAGTACTGATTTGAAAAATGCTCTTATTTCTCAACATAATCTCCCTGTACATTGAGGCACTTGTCCCATCTTTTCACAAGCCCCTGAAAACCAGCAGCATAAAATATTTCGAGCTGCTGTTGGAACCAGATGGTGACTTCCCTTTCTACAGCCTCATCATTGGGAAAATATTCAACTGAAAGATGATGAGGGCTGAACAAATGGAAGTAACTTGGAGCAAGGTTCATCACCTGTGACAATTCGGGCTAGCATATTGTGTCCTGTGTGGCAGCGATTGAGATTTTCCCGACGATGAAACTGTAGAAAGGGAAGTTACTGCCTGGTTCCGACAGAAGCCCCAAGAATTTTACGCTGCTGGTTTTCAGAGGCTTGTGAAATGATGTGACAAGTGCCTCAATGTACAGGAATTTTATGTTGAGAAATAAAAGCATTTTTCAAATCAGTTCTCTTATTTAAGTTCTATATCCATCTGTATCTTACTTACTGACTTACCTATGTATTTAATTCAGATTCTAAGCATTACAAATTATATATTCAAAATTTGGACACAGATATTATTTACTGTCAGGGAACTTCTTTTACACATCATCCATTGTCTGTTTAAAATTTATATTATTAATAATTGACATTCTGGATATTGACTGCTTCCATTTCCATTGCCTATAGCTTTAAAATTTAAAAAGAAGTCCTGGAAAAAACTAATTGCTTATTTCCTGTCACTATAATTTTGAGTATCTGATGAGATAAGTAGAAAGAAAACTTTTGTATGTATGTGTATTGAAGTCAATAAAACAACACAATTTGAGAGGGTGCAGTTTTGGTACTACTGATGGGAGTGATTTATGAAGTATGCCATTCAGATGGCATGAAATACACACAAAGTTCCATGACAATCAGTTTATGCACTGAAGTAATATTAAGGTTATTGCCTGGCTGCACCATAGCTCAAGTGGTTAGTTGCTTGCTTCCCACCGCGGCGGCCCAGGTTCAAACCCGGGTCTGGTCAAGTGGGATTTGTGGTGGACTAAGTGGCGCTGGGGTAGGTTTTCTCCGAGTACTTTAGTTTCCCTTGCCAATCTTCCACCAAATTCTCCATCATCATAATCACCTGGGGCAGGTACAATAGGCCAATCAGTGGCCGCTGTGCTGAGTGGAACCAATTGGACTCCACCCCCACTATGCGAAAAGGTTACTGCCTCAACAATTTTAGAGGCTGCAGTGTTGGTATCACTGATGAAATTCATGATGTGTACCTTAGGCAGCATGATATGGAAACCTAGTTTTATGATGATCGATTCAGGAAATCAATATCAAGGTTATTACAACAAAAATTTTAGAGGATTCAATATTGGTATTGCTGATGGGAGGGATTTAGGAAGTACGGCATTGAGACAGCCTCATGTGGCATTACGTACATAACAAGTTTCATGATAACTGGTTCAAGCAATCAAGTAACACTAAGCGTATTACTTAAACACCATGACAGGTTGTAGTGCTGGTATTACTGTTGGGAGGGATTTATGAGTACATACAAAGTTTTATAACTGGTTCAAGCATTCAAGTAACACTAAGCATATTACCTCAACACCATGACAGGTTGTAGTGCTGGTATTACTGTTGGGAGGGATTTATGAAGAATGCCTTCAAGATGGCTTCATGTGGCATGACACAAACACGAAGTTTCATGAAGACTGGTACAGGCATCCAAGCAATATTAAGATTTCACCTCAATAATCTGAGAGGCTGTAATGTTGGTATCACTGATAGAAAGGATACCAGGTTTCATTAAGGCTGGCTGAGGCATTCAAAAGCTGTTGGGGGGGATACACACAGAGAGAGCAAGGTGATATCACAATGCTACTTTTATTTTTTTAAATTAGGAGAGTAGGCCAAAAATTAAAAAAAAAAATGCATTTTAGATACTGGCCTTGTCTTCAAAACATCATCATTTTTAGAACTTTAATCCTTGTTTACTATTATTATTATTATTATTATTCTTAGTGGGGTGAGACTGAGTCCACTTGGTATTGCAGCCACTACTGGCCTACTGTACCAGCTGCAGATGATAGATGATGGTGACTGTGGAGCAATGGGTGGAATGAGGATTGGCAGGGGAAACTGAAGTACTTGGAGAAAATCTGCCCCAGTGCCATCCTGTCCACCACAAATCCCACATGACCTGATCCAGGCTTGAACCTGAGCCACCGAGGTGGGAAGCCAGTGACTAACCGCCTGAGCTATGGCATGGTCTCTACATTAAACCTTAGTAACATATACAACAGCTAATGCCCCAAAGAAAAAACCAAACTACTACTACTTACGGTTCTGCGAGGATGCTCAGGAGCTACATCAGAACTGTCTAGTTTGTGAATATTGCTCCTGTATGGTGTGGAGGTATGCTTCTGACCACCTGCACTGCCCCTGTACCGTGGAGTTAGGTGGTTCAATGAACTATGCTGAAGATACAAGCTGCTGCTGTTCCCAAGTCCCACCAATGAGTTATTTAGGTTATCAGCACCGGAAGGAGCTGAGGAAACGCTGTCATCAGACATGCCATCGCATTCATTTCGATTCACTGCTAAAGAAAGCAACTACTTCAAAAGCAGTATTGTATGGTTCAGGATTACTTGTGATCTGGTGATGTATGTGTTTATAAGTGATTCAACTGTAGGAGCTATAAATTACAGGTAACATTATCTGTACAGCCTAAGAGAAGACAATTGCCATTGTCTGTGATTATAAAACAGAAACTACCACGTACAACCACTTCCAAGTGCAATGAAATGTTGTGGCTGAATGATATGTAACAATCAATTAATTGAATGAGGCACAGAAAACGAGGCCTGGTATTCTATTTAAGTAAGAGTAAGTACACGTATCCCTGTAGAAGGCCATGGAGGCCCATAGGGTTGTGATATGTTTAGGTTCCCACATTTCCTAGACAATCGGCTCATAGATGGCAGCAAGGTTGTCAGCCTTACGCATCAACCACCCTTTACCCCCAAGAATATTCCTGGTACTCATTTCTATTAGAGGTTTAGTCGACCCCAGGGCCATAGTGCAGGAAGGATTAGGTCAATTGAAAAACATCCAATGACCTCATCGGGGCTCAAACCCGCAACCTTCCAGCTTGTAGCATAGTGCCTCAACCAACTACACTATTGCATGCCCCTACCTATTTAAGAGAAGAACATATATTAACTCTTGATGGTTTTAATGGATTAGAGAATAAAATAAATAAATAAAAATAAATGCCATGGTGATGTTAATACTGTCATATGAGCAAGGAGAGGTTGGAGAATTTGCATGCACCAATCTTTCGAGAAACACCAAGACCCCCTCCATTTTGATTATTCTGGAAAGTGCAAAGACAAAGGATAGCTAAGAACCCGAGAGATGTTTCCAGAATGACGACAGATGGTCTGAGGAAAGTGGCCAAGCTCTCTGTTTTGTGTAGGTGAATTGAGAAGCAGCAAAAATTATTTATGGGAAAATGCGTCAGTTCAGTTAAATGAAAGTACTGAGTTCCTTGCTGGCAGCTCAAGACATACATCAGTGAACGCAAGAGAACACTGCAGTGGTGGACTAGACAAGATGATGTCACAATCTTATGTGGCTACTGACAATCAGGCATTAACTGCTCCAAACTAACCTAAACATTAAAAGGTAAAGTTGTTCATGTGCTTAATTAATTAAGCACTATGCCATGAAGGTGTATGGGGGAGTGGATGTACAGATCCACATCTGCTTGACCTCAGGACTAGATGGAGGTGAGTGGCCAGCTTTACACCCCTGTCACTTTACCACTGAGGAAAGAGATACCAGTACCCATTGGATAGGAGGTTGGGTGGGCCCAAGAGCTGGTCTGGATGATGGGGAGAACAGAAAATTCTAGACCTTACCAGGATTCAAATCACAACCCCTTGGTTGTACAGCCCATAGCCAGTCACTACACCAACTATGCTATCCTGGCTCATAACATAAACATTACAATATAAATATAAATTCAGTCAATAATCACTTCATAAATGTGGTGGCCCACCATACCATTTTACCACAAAATGTGTAATTTTTGGGCGGACAGCACATTATCTAATTTAACATCTACAAATCACTGTTGATAACAAGGTATATAGGTATTACGAGGGATATTTGGAAAGTAAAAATACAAGTCAACTAGAAATGCAAGGGAATTCTTTTTTCAGAAATGGCAGTGCTGTCGTGTGAGATAGGAACTGTATGACAGGGCAGAGTCCACCGGCCAGTCATGGCAACACTGTGCTTGCAGTTCGTGTTTAAAATGGCTGTGTCAATTCAAAATCGCACCAAATGTGAGTTTCGTGTATTAATTTGATTTCTTCATGTGAAAGGAGAACCTGCTGCTGATATTCATTGCCAACATTTTTCTGTTTACAGCAAAAATGTTATGAACAGGCAAAACATGACAAAATGGTATCATGAAGCTGAAGCAGGAAAAACTGATATTCATGATGAAATAAGGAGTGGAAGCCATCCATTGTCACTGATGAAATTATCCAAAAAATTGATGAAAACATTCGTGCTGATGGACATGTATCATCAATGAACTTCATCAACAATGTCCAGAAGTGTCAAGAACAGTTCTCCATGAAACAGTTACAAGAAGATTAGGCTACTGGAAACTGTGCGTATTTGAATGCTGAAAATGACAGACGATAAAAAAAAAAATCAAGTGGCTATGGTGCAGACATTCCTCGTGCGTTACAAGAATCAAGGTGATGACTTTCTGGACTGCTTACTGTGAGATGCTGAAGTAACTGCAAAAGAAGCAAAGAGGAATGCTGAAGCGAGGAGTCTGCTTACTGCACAATGATGCCCATCCACACACTACTTGCCATGCAGGAGTTGTTGCAGTCCTTCAAGTGGGAAGTTTGGGCCCATCCACCATACAGCCCAGACCTTGCACCAAGCAACTATCACTTGTTTTCTAAATTGAAGGAAAGTCTGACTGGAAAGACTTTTTTGGATGATGGTGAGGTTCAAGATGCAGTGATGACATTGCTAAGAGAGCAGGCAGATTTCTACAATGCTGGAATAAAAAAACTCTTTCCCAGGCTAAGTGCATTGTGATACATAGTGATTGTGTTGAAAAGTACATTAATTTGTGTTGTAATAGTGCTACAAGTGAGTCTAAAAAATGCTTTACAAATATTCTCTGGACTTTGTATCTTTACTTTCCAAATAACCTTTGTATTTGAATGTGTGGGTCAGTCACACATAACTAACATGGGCGACTAAAAGTATAATCTAATAATATATACAGCCTGTGAATTAAAAGCATCAAATTATGGTTATAAAATTCCTACACTGTACATATACAATGATTAAACCCTGTACCAGATGAATATCCGTGCACACATATAGTGTGGGTTAAAAACTCGTAATAGGTTGTACCAAATTGCATGACTGTCTCATTTTCTACTGTAACTGTTCATCTCCATGGCAAGACTGACACTCTTAACTAATACTCTGAAACACGCATTATCTGGGACTTCAACATGCCCAAGTTTCTCATGAATACCACAATCTGAAAGGAATGACGTACCATCAACTCCTGCTAACATTACATCCGGATCGATACGACTCAGCTGACTTTCAATATCTTCTATGTGACTATTTAGTTCAGCATTCAGTGGATGTTTTGCATCTACTCCTGGACTCCGCAGTCTGTCCAGTGTGAGATAAAAGCACTCCCTGGCTTTTGTAAGCAGGATAATGTGTTGGGAACGCATCTCACTAGTGATCATTTCTCGGCGTTGATCCTGTAACTCTTCAGCTGCCAATTTCTTGTATATTGTAGCCTGCAAAGTAATAAATATTTTAAAATTGCCACACCTCTTGAACAATTAAGCTGGGTTTATCAAGGCACATGGTCATTATACCCTGGTCTGGTAAACTAATACTGATATGTTAACGCAACTACAGTGTACAATTTTCCCAATTGTCCAACTTCAGGAAGAACACCGGATTCAACAAAAGGGACACTTCCATCTCTATCCTGATAAAGCATACAAGGAAGGATGAAAGAACAAGGTCTGTTTCCATCCTAACAAAGAACAGAGAATCTAGGTCTACTAACATACCAGTCACATAGGGGACTCCAAAACAACACAAGTAACAGCTTCAACCATGAGTCGATTCCATCCTCACTTGCATCCCAAGGCATGTCTATGTGAGGACAACTGACAGATAAGGCAAAAAGCAATATTCATCAACTTACTGGTGATATGATGGGAAAAGAAAGAATGTGGAAAACCATTAAAATAAAGACTTGGCTCCATACAGGGATTTTATGTTGTATTTTGCAGCTGTTATCACTTTGCTATTTAAGGAGACCAATTGATATTACAAAACTCCCTTGATGGTGGACCCACTCCAGTACCTGATGTCAGTGAATGTGAAATGTTCCTATTAATATTCAAAGAGGGACATGACAAAGGGAAAGGACACTGATTGACTACTGAACAGATGTTTTTGCTTTTTTATGGCAAAACAATGGGATTTCACAAATTCCTTCATATTCTTAGATTTCTCCATTTTTCAAGAAATGGTAATATAATTACCTGAACTGCAGCAGACTACAGAAACTAGGACATATTTCTGATTTCCTGAATGACAAATACTCAAAATATTACACCCTTTCTCAATATCTGACTGCAGATAATGTTATAGTATTCTTCCAGGAAAGAATAACTTCAAAAATTACATAGCCAAGGGCAATGTTTCAGAATAAAATTTTATGAATTATGTGACATATGAAGACATGGCAGGGAAGCAAAACATGAGCAACCAGAAATGTGACAGCAACACATGAAACTATTAAACAATTGACATAAAAAGTGGAAAGACATGAACACAGCCATATAATGACAACTTAATTTTGTCATGTGACTTATTCAACAATATTACAAAAAAGAAATGATGCACAATAGCCCGGTAATCGAAAAAAACGCTCAGTATCACCTTCACATTGCTCTGAACCTGTCGTGCTTTTTTGGGCCTCGGGGATGTTGGATGCTTCCATTGTGACGCCTGGACCTTGGTTTCTGGGTCATATCCATACATCCACGACTCGTCACCAGTGATCACAGCCTTCAGGAACTCAGGATCCCTGTTGGTGCACTCCAGCATGTCCTGCGCAACCTCAAGGCGGGGTTGTTGCTGCTCCAGTGAAAGCAGCTTGGGCACAAATTTTGCCGCCACTCTTCACATTCCCAGATGGTCAAACAATGGTCCTCCATGATCAGTGTCCGAACTTTTTCAATAACATCAGCATTTTGGCTCATTAACGGTCTCCCAGAACGCTGGTCACTTTCCGCCAACATAGTCATTTTTAAAGCGGCTGAACCACTCTTTAATTTGAGTGACCCCCATTGCATCATTGCCGAAAGCCTGCTGAATTTTGCAGATTGTTTCCGCTTGGGTATCCACAAGTTTCTAACAAAACTTTATGCAGTATTGCTGCTCCAAGCATTCTGTCATCTTGAGCAAAACGAGAATGCGATGATCACGTGTTACACCACTTCACTATCTGGCAGCCACAGACGCACCTAGCGGTGCTGCGACTCAGCAAAGAATCACGCATGCGCATGAAAGTGCCTTCTACCACCATGCTCATTTTCCCCACCCCTTTGGCCGTTACTTACAGCGGAAAAAAATGAAGTTGGATACTTTTTGGACAGCGGTGTATATGGCATATCCCAGAAGACAGTACTCTTCATTGGCTCCACTTTTTACCTATTTCTTGGCAGTTTCTTGCCTGGCTTAACCTTTGATAGTGAAGATGGAGGGATTATGTTCCCTTGAAATGCTGGTGAATTTCTGCTGAACAATATGACACTACATACCAAAATACAGTAATCTTCATAGGCTCGGCATGTTGCCTGTTTCCCGCTGGTTTCTTGCTCGACTTATTCTACGACCCTGAAGATGAGGCAGTACTTTCAGCCAAATTGTCAGTGGACATCTATCACATTACATGGAGTCACATACAAGAAGTCTTCATTGGCTGTTTGCTGAATACAGCTTCCTAGTTTATTTCCTGGCCTACCCTTTGACCCTGAAGATGGAGGCAATATGATCCTTTGAAATGATGGTGCACTTCTACTAGACTACAGGACATTACATCCCAGGAAACAGTACTCATGTAGATTTATTTGCATATCTCCTGCAGGGCAAGCTAGAGCAATACCAAGAAGACCAGCTTATGGTCAGCAAGCTGTTAAACACTGAAGTACTATTTCATGTATATTCGACTTGTATCTGAAGAGCGCTCTATCCAGTTGATGTTACACTTATTTACCTGATAGAAGGAAGCATATGGAGACTTCAACTGTTGGAATGCTTCAATTGCTTTTTCATGTTTATCTTCCTTCATTAATTGGCAAGCCAGGAAGAAACGGCCCTCTTCTATAAGAGCATTCACTTCTGCACTTGATAATTCTTTCCTACAAAACAAAGGAATGTTGTATAAAATGAAGACATTACATCTGTTGAAATTTTACAGTTAACATTATGTGCCAGCTGAAGATTGCAGGAGTGGAAAACTACAATCTGCTCATAATGTCCTCATGAATCAAATTTTGATCTGTTACCGTCATACCCACATATCTGAACTTTGCCACATTTTCAAAGGATCTATTTATCATTATGTTATGATTTTGCCTTGCAGTCTGGCAGTCTGGTGACCACACATCACCATATACTCCGTTTACTCGCCATTTATTTCTGAACCAACCTCCGTACTAGCATCAATTTGAGCATTATGTGTTTTCCTTCATGGTATTTAGGTTATTTCCCAATAAATTTACATCATCAGCACAGACCAAAGCTGATGTCTCCCATTCATTTTCAGTTCCACCTAGTTTTCTGGACCTTCTTAATAACATACTCTAACAGAAAGTTGAAAAGCAATGGTGACAACACTTTTCCTTCTTTTAGACCATTCTGAATAGGAAACACATCACACACATGTTCGCTCCCATGGACTACTTCTCTCCTAACCAAATCACAGGCCTTCTTGAAGTCTATGAATAGGTGATGTACTGTCTCATAGCATTCTCATTTTTGATCGAACATCTGAATAATGACGGGGCAAACCTGATCAGTACCTAATCTCTTACCTCAAAACCCACACTGCTGATCCCCAATAATTCTAACTACTTAACCATGTAGAAAGGATATTGGACAAAATGTTATGCCTCAATAATTACCAGTCAGTCACAGCTTCCTTCTTGTAAAATGATACAATAACACACTCCTTCCACTATTCAGGCAATTCATTAGATCAAATACAATTTACTGAGGTCATGAATCTCAGACCATAATATTTCACCTCCTGCTTGAATCATTTTTGCCAGAATTTGACCACTACCTGGCGACTTACTTTTTCAACTTTGCAGTAGTGATTTCTGCCTCAAAAGGACAAGGCTCAGGCACTAATGGCTGAACTTATTTCTATCTGCCTAACATCACTGACCCTATATACATTCAATGGCTGACAAGTAATTCTTCTGCCTCTTCAGAATGTTGTGGGAATCTGCAACCCGATCACCTTTTCATCATTCAGACTCTTCATTCTAGGTTGGTAATCCTTCTTAATTTATTTCTCTGTATAAATCTCTATGTTCTTGTTCTTATGGTGTGTTGCAAGCTCATCTTTCTGATATTAGTTTCAGCAGTTTCATGAAGGTTTTGAGCAGTAACATGAAAGCAATTTATTCAGTAAGGAGTAAGAACCATACTGAAACAAACGGCAGTAAATGTTGCAAAGATAAGGTCTCTTTCATGTACCAAGTACAGCTCGCCAACATGTGATATACTTTAGTTGGCATCTAAATACTTACTGAAATTCAGATAGTTATACCTGTACAATCAAGACTATAGTGAGCACATCAGCTTCACAATTTTCATCACATAATAAGACAAGCATAAGTTCATAAATCTTGATAAATCATCAGAAACTGTTGGGTAACAAAGAAGTTCCTAAATGGACAAAAGACTATAGTGCTAAAACTTGCCCTTGGTACTCAAAGAGCCTTGTATGAGGAGCACGTATTGTCTGGTTGCGCTGAAGTCGTTCCAATAATGGCAAAGCTGCTGTCCAATATAAAGATGCTCTAGCTTCTATTGCAGGTAAATCACTGGAACCTTCCGTTCGAGCAGCCATCGTTGATGCCTTTAAAAAGAGTGAAATACTTAATGCCAGTAACAAGAAAGGACTGCAGGCACAGCCCTTCTCATACAGAAACTGGCCCTTACAAATATGAAAGTCTACACAGCTTTACCTACTTGGCAGGATAACTGCAAAAATGACACATCTGAAATAAAAGAATTGCATTCCTCTGCAAACAGATGTTTCCATGGACTTAGGAAGCATTTCAAATCACACCTGATCTCAAATAAACAAAGATGATACTGTATAAGATACTTGTAAGGCCAGTAGCCACTTATGCTTCTGAGGCTTGTGGCCACATCCAAAGGCAGATGAGACAGAACACCTGACCTGTTTCAGGGAATTATCTTGAAAAGTAGATGTGGGGCAATGCAGGATAAATAGCAGTGGAGAAGATGGAAGCTGAACCGTGTTACGGTTCTTTCTGTGTAGGGTCCTTGGATTTACCGCCTCTCTCTGGCAACTACCTATGCTACGACGTGGAGCCGATCCTTTTCCCATTTAGTTCTTTGCTACCAAAGGTCACGTGTTTCCCTTTCCCTCCTGTCCCGGCACAAGCTGAAGCTTCCTACATTTACAGACAAGATCGTCTGTCGCTCTTTCCTCTTCAGCTTCAACCGAGAAGGTTGGTTTTGGGCATCGGAAATTCAGTTTGGTTTGGATTACGCATGTTGCATAGAAATTCTGTTTCGGCACATTACGTACTACTGGAAGAGAGAGAGAGCCCTTTCGAGCTAGTATGAGCTGGCTGGCTCGGGAGTTTATTTATTTTTCCTGGTTTGTAGTATAATTTATCAAGTAAGTACTTACTGAGTAAGTTGGGCAATGTGTATTGGGACTGCCCTGTATTAGTGAAAGTGCCACGGAGTTATGTGAGTTACGATTGGTTAATGAGTGCCGCATTGCGGCACTCATTAAGCACTTTGCTAGGATTGACTGTTTTGTTTCTTTCAGCTCTGTTTTAAGTATTATTCTGAAATCGGGTATAGTCAGAACATAATGATTGATTTTCATCTTTTGCAATCAGATTATTGTGACAGTTTAAACCCTGTACATTCAAGGCCATTGATCAGCTCATGTCAGTGAACCTAAGAGGTCGCAACCGTCACTTTAACTGCGTGCCCATTCTGATTCTTGACTTGTGTTCATTTGACATTTTTGCTGCCCTTCAGGCGAAGCTGTGGTATTTTCCTTTGTGATACTTGCACAATTTATATTTCTATACTTATGTTACAATATACTTTATGTTATTGAAAAACCAGCTGGATTGTTCTGCTTTCTGTGTACTCTGCTTGATTACTTGTACTGCCTAACGCCTATGCCAGCTAACCCTCTTGGTTCCTCCCTTGAGATCCCCTTCCACATTGGGGAGGCATTGGAACACCACGTGACAAACAGTCGATTGTGAGCTCCAGCCGTCTTCGACGAGGTGGGACGGCTCAAAGTCTGAATTATATAAACTTGTAATGTGCCTGATATGGTTAAATATATGAAAAATAACATACCGAAGTGGGCACAGCACATATACAAATGGAAAATAGACAACTAAATGGGAATTTCACGCAGGTCATAGGAAGAAATAGGAATTGGAATGCACAGACTGGGATGGGGGGATGCTGCAGACCAAGACATCAGACTTCCAGGAGAGAAGAACCAGTCAAGCCTAGCATTAAATAATGAAGGATGGAAAAGGCTTGTGAAAAAGTTCTGGCCCCATGCAGGGTTGATGAGGAGGAGGAACACTCAAAGAATAATTGAATTCAGATGACAATATTCTTCAAAATCATAATGAAATATCTCACAGGAAAGTTTGCAAAATGAATAAAGTATCAGGCCACTGCTGCCAGTTTAAGATATACCTTTGTCAACTAGGAATCTCACACTATTGACAAAACATTTGCATTCATCATCACTTATGCCTAATAAGAAGACTCCCTTGTTAAAATATTTCTTTCACTGCTGCTCCACAATTGGCTCTGCATACATAATTAATTATTTTCTGCACAAAAATCAACCATGAAAAGAAACAGTAATCTAATCATCACTTAGGCAGGTCATTAAAACAAAAAGTGTAATGAAGAAAGCAGTCTTCTGGGATTTGGCACCGTGTATATGTGGTGTTAACCGACGTTTCGGAGGAACGTATCGCCCCCATCTTCAGGGTTGAAGAAGTATAAGTAAATCTGCAAGCGACAACACCGTGAGACACGGTCAAGCAGACTGGTTGACCGTGTCTCACGGTGTTGTCGCTTGCAGATTTACTTATACTTCTTCAACCCTGAAGATGGGGGCGATACGTTCCTCCGAAACGTCGGTTAACACCACATATACACGGTGCCAAATCCCAGAAGACTGCTTTCTTCATAGTCACCGCCGTGAAAGCCTCAAATCTTACAAAAAGTGTAATGCTTACCCTTTGTTCAAATGTCTGTGCTAAATGAACAACAAGCTTAACATCCAATCCATGGTTTCCAAGAACTCTAACTACTTCTATTCCTCTCTGTAATGTCTGTCGGAGCTCACCCAGGTCCCCCTTAGCTTGGTTTGTAAAAACTCGGTAAGCTGCTGCCCACCTACGGCAAAAATTGAGGTTATTAGTATCTGACAAAACTATGACACCTAGAATTCCAAGTCTCATTCCTACATCTTTTCTTTACGAATCAAAACATACCATTTGGCCTGACTGACAGTACACAGCTGCTCAGTAATGTTTGCTGGTAAGGTAACAGGCCTGTCAGAACTCCAGTAACCAGCAGCTTGCTGCTCATCTTGTGTTGCGCTGGCACAAAACACTGAGAATCCAAACAAAACAAAACCATCCCATATTAATGTGAATAGACCCCATCCAATTCATATCAAAACCACAAACCCATTTCTAAATAATACACAAACACTCTGGATCATTCTCCATGACAAAATTTTTGCACATCTTGCACTTAAAAAAACTCATTTGCACAGCAGGAAATATAGCAAAATACTGATATCATACTGCCCAGTCTTTTATCTCATTACTTCTAATGAATACACTTACTTTCCTAATGGAGTGAAGTTCAATTACAATAAACTACAATGGAGTTAACAAAACAATATCATACCTAAACATATAAAAAGTTCTGTCATAACAGTGAGTAAAAGCTCCGAAATTACACAATTTCAGGTTAACATAGCAACAAATGGTGGAGTGTTAATACACTGCATCGGTTATGTGGGTGATGAATGTGCAAGCAGACTTGTTTTTAATATGGAACTGCTTTCTCTGATACCAGATTGGCTGGATTCCTCATTAATATTTTCAGTTTACTGCTGATTTCAGCAAGCCATTTTCTAGTTTCATTATAAGAAAATGTAATATGCACATTTCAAACTACACTATGTCATAAAAAATCCATTTGATTTTTACTTACAGAGAACCACAAAGCAAAATGTTTACAGGTCAAACTTTCACACAACTGAAACACTGAATGAAAATATCAGAAGAGAAGTTTACTCTTGTTTCTTCAAAAAGAATTAATGTGGGTATGTAAACCTTCCATAAAGCTGCCAGGTATGTATGCACAAACTCAGCGAGCATTTTCTGCTTCTGCTGTAATCTGGATAAGTTTAATCTGTGATGTGTTTAGGCTGTACATCTGTCTATTACTCTGCCAGCAGTAGGAATCTCCACAGGCCCACCTGGTTCAGAGGAGCTTCCAAATCATCTTCCTGGGAGTTTCAGTAACTTGTGAGGCACTGTAAAATCCCTCCTTTAACAGATTATCATTCACTGTATTTAAAAACCACCAGTCATGAATGCAACTCCAGTGCTTACTATAAATGTTACCTTACCCCAGTTTGGTTCCACATGCCAATGATTAAGGACTTTGTTATCATACACTACATCCAGCATGACACTGTCAGTGTAACAATTATAGAATCTAACTATAAAATCAATTTTACCTGCAGCATATAAAAAAGAATCAATATCGAGTCTGTTGAGGGTTTCAGAGCCAGCACAATTCAAATTGTTGCACGTCAGCTGCAAGCCTTCAAACACCTGGCAATGAAAATCTGGTCCTGGCTTCAAGCTGCTGTTCTTCTTGTTACTACAAGGAACATCCTGCAGTCCCAACCAAACCAGATGATGCAGAGAACTTGGATGCAGTTTCTGTGACTCTAGAAATGGAAAGACAGCACACACATATCAGGTAAGTTACCAATATCAATTACTGACATAATAGAAACTCTACAGTAGTAACATCCAATCTGAGACCAGAAAGAACATACATGGATGTCAAACTTCAGGGTCAAAACCACGCTATTTTTTCTTTTTGGTATCAAAGAAATGTACATTACAAATTTAGTCCTTCTAAAAACTCCACCGGAATTCTTATAGTAACACATGCACAAAAAAGTGTAACGATTGGCTGTGGGAGCAGGATAACAGTAAAGCACTGGTACATCCCCAATACTTGTATTATTTGGCCCCACTACAACCTCCTCATGTTGCTGAAAGTAAAAATGCCCTTTTAACAATTGGAAAAGATTTTCAGGACATGATCTTAAAGGTCTGCTGGAAAATGAGGGACAACAGTGACAGTACTGGAACATCCGAATTCTTGCATTATTTGGATCCACTATGACTTTCTCGTGTTACTGAAGCTAAATATGCCCTTCAAAGAACATAGTTTTTAACAATTTGAAAAGATATTCAAAACGTGATCACCAGGTACAGGATTTTGATGACCTAAAAATCCAGAAAAATTATCTAAAAGTTAAAAACGACATAAAAATGTATCATGTCATGGAAAATCTACTAATTGTTTTAAAATGTATTTTTAATATTTATTAACACTGTGAACTCAACGTTACTCTTTTCAGTTCGTCCTCGTTTTTGTGTTGAAAATTAAGCAATATATGATTGAATTTGAAGTTAAATGTTTTAATACAATTTTTTCTACCGCGTTGGAATGCTTATCAAATGTACATATATGGTATATATTCCAACATTTACGTGCCACCTCATTCAGAGTTGCAATAGATGACAGTAAACATGCAGAGATTCTCGAAGGTGAGTGAATGCTTATTGTCTGACAGCACGTTCTTGTACTTGGAGAAACTCCTTTCCACATCTGCAGACACAACGGGATCATACTTGAAGTGTACCAAATAAGAAGCAGTTCTTCTTCAATACTGAAAGTGCTGAAGGACCCTCCTGTCAGAATTCGAGAAATGCTGCATAATGTTTCATAACCTGAGTTTCATCTAGAACATGTTTCATTTTTCTTGACACCATTTTACCAATGTCCCCTGACACTTTCTCCAAATCACTGGCTATTTCTTTTCACCAGAACGAACAAATCTTCTAGTGTTGCTCTTTTCTCCTGTAAGCATTCGATTCCTTCCGTCAAGGAACTGATATTTGCCTTTATGAAGGCCAGCTGTCCTTCCATTTCACTAAACGAGAACTGTTCCTGAGCAGCTTCAATTGCCCTCGCATCCTCCGTCTTCATTGAATCTACAATGTTTTCTCTACCCGAAAATTATCACAGTAGTCAATAGTAGCATCAATCCACGTTCCCCACCTTGTGATGACGGGTTCTGGGGACAGGCGAACAACATAAGCCATAGACTTACACTGTATTTTATGAACTGAAGTCTTGACAAAAATCTTCTTCGTCCACGACACGAAAGCATCCACTTGAGGAAATCTTGATCTCACTTCCTCCGTCACTCTATGCAGTGCATGAGTTAGGCAAGTAACTTGCATCAATTTCATATAAAACGACTTTATTGACTTGCCTACTTTTAAAATATATGGGGGCTGCATCAGTCACAAAAAACAAGACGTCATGTTGTATACCCTCTGGCCAGAGTAGAAACATCGACCTGTCAAAGAGTTTACAAATGGTGGAATGATTAATGGATTATAGCACCTCACTTGTAAGCAGAAACATTTCACCTGGTCCATCAATTTCCAAGGTTCCAATGATGACGTCTGCCATGTAGCTAGCCTCTGTATCACAGATATCATCAAGAGAAACGAAAATCTTCTTCCCATTCACTTTATTCCTAATCATTTCCAGGATATTGTTATAGAACTTGGAAAGGTAGTTTTTCCTGAGGGCGCATTAATCTGGGATAGAACGACCACAATTCACTCACAGAAAATTTTTTAGTTTTTCATTTTTCAGAGCTCAAAATGGAATATTTGCAGACACCAGAGCATCACACAGATCTGTGAAAAAATCAGATGAACAATGCTGCAGTAACATTTTCACAGATTTCTATTTGTTCGAAATTTGCACTGCTTGTGTATACTTGTTGCGGCCGATATGTTGTTTTACTATGAAACATTTTTCTGCTGCTAAGTTTGTGTCACACATCTCACAGTATAAAATGTTACCGTCAGTTGAAAATACATCATCTCCAAATTCAGCTACAATCTGCTTTAAATTACATGATTTAGATGGCTCTGCTTTAGGCATTTTGATAAAATGAATCACTCTAGCGCAACACAGAACTGAATTTTCACAGTGAGAACCTTTCGTCAACCATATCTTTGTCTGTATGGTCAAGGGCAAGAAACTGAAGACAGTTTTACTGAGCAAGAATGTGTCATAAAAAGTGAGGGATTCTGACTAGAAATATTTGTAACTAAGCAAATTCCTTTGCACAGAACTTGGAAAGGGCTGCAGTGTGAGTGAGCACTGTCATACCCTGCTGCCAGCTTAATATGTTTTATGATATTTAATGTCAGCACTTTCCACAAAATGAACGGAAAGGACGGGACATTATTTCAACTTATTATTGCATACTGTGGTAGCAGGTATTTGGGGTGCAGCTGCAAGCTGCCTTTGTAGAGGCAGGAGAAAGAGAAAGAACACTTAACTTGCATATTATTCACATTTCTGAAAACATATGAAGAAAAATTACCTAAAATGGCTAAACTGACAAAAAATACCCTTAAAAGTCCCAAAAATTACAGAAAAATTACCCAAACTGAAAAAAAGACATAAAACTTAAAAATGACAAGAAATGACCTATAAAAGTTACATTTCTGTAACCAGCATCTCATTTCCAGGACTTACATATTTTAGGGCATTGAATAGGATACAAGGAAAAAAAAGATGACATCATCAAAATTCGGACCCTGGTGGTCACAGGATTTAAAAGACTACTGAAAAATGATTTCTGACTGCAAGTATAAATTTAGCCGAGCATTTGTTATCACATTTTCATGGTGGAGACTGTTCACAATACAGTCTTCAGGGTTAAGGCACCATTTAATTCCTGCTGATGGATGCCAAAGTATTAGGGGAACATCCAACCTCCATCTTCAGGGTCAGAGGACTATTTTGAAGATCACATTCACTACAAGTTCTTCAAGATAAATTCATTTTTACAGCATTGTCCCATTTCTTCTCAAGACCTAATACACTGTACTTTCTATGCACATGACAGAAATACTGCTGTAACTGAAGTACTGCAGACACTTGAAAATAGCACATACATTAAAAAATCTTCTAATATCACAACTTAATTATTACTATAATGGTGTGTGCATGTATACCATACCAATTCATAAGAAAGCATGATCTGCATAGGGCCACAAATGGACATTGCCATGCATCCCATAATCCCTTTCAAAGAACTTAGCAAAATCTAAAGTGGCCTCCGTAGTCTAGAGGTAACGTTCCCACCTCATGACTAGTGGTATGCGGGTTCAAATACCCGGCGGAGGTCATCAAAGTTTTAAGGGCAGAAAAATTCAGGGAACAAGTCCTCCGGGAGGGACTTTAAGCTGTGTGTCCCGTGTCGTAACTTTACGGCACATAAAAGAACCTCATATCCCCAAAGGGGATCACTGAGCCAAATTCCAGGACGTTTCCCGCCCAACAATAATCTCTAAGGCCTCTGATAGATGGGGGAAGCATTATAGACACCGCTAAGCAAGTGGCCGAACTCGCTTGCTCGGCGGGACTGATGGTATGCACCATTTATCGGTAGGGTAAAGAGACTGGTAGAATATCATAGAGGGAAGCACAATAGATCAAACTGGTCGCGGTGCATGGGGAAACCCACCCTCTCTAAATAAATAACTAACTAACTAACTAACTAACTAACTAGCAAAATCTGACATGGGAAACCTTCGCTTATTTGCATTTCATTATTCCTATTTGTAAGTAAGATTAATATTAACTTCAAAGAATGGCACTGGTGATTCTGTGTACTACATTATAAAGTACAATTACAGCTACACACCTCAATGTGCAATCCCTTGAACATACAAAGGTATGTGTATAGGCAATTACCTAATTTGTGTTACAAACATTAAATACATTCATGTACTATATGTCAAACAATACCAATGCTGGGACGCCTAACAAATAGAACAGGATTACTGTTACATACATTACAGTTGTAGTTACATAACACAACTGTAGAATAAACCCCAGTAAATCTGTGCAGAAATGTATTAGTTTAACCAACTAACAAATGTCATAAAAATAACAATAAAGCCTAAAATAATAATTAAAGCTTTTACCAAATGGGGCCTGTAGGTGCCAATAAGCATGCCACACTTTCAGAAGGCATTCAACTTTCATTGCATTTTGCAATATAATTATGTCAGCTAAAATGTTATCAAAGGACATTCTCTCTCTAGGTTCATCATGGAACTGCAGTGGTCTTGCAGCTGAACTTCTCACCATTCATTCACCTCTAATTATCAGGGTTATCAGCATTAATATTAAATGGAATTAATTTAAGGAGTTGGCCCCAGTGAGAGATGTACTCTCATAAATGTAATTAAAGACAGGTCAACAAAACCTGACTGGATGGACTAGGAAGCCAGATAACAAGAGAATCTCAAGAGTGTTAATGGCCAAGACTATCACCATCAGTGGTACAGACTGATTTAGTCACAACTAGAATATACCATAAGATTCTTAGGATGAAACACTGTATTTTCTCCAAAATCTCATGCACACTTTTCAGAAAAATAAATCTTGCCAAAAAGTGGGGTGTGCAGCTTATTTGCAATGAAGTTAACAGAGCTACTTATTTGTCATATTTAGGATTCAGGTACATCCCAGAGAGTAGTAACCCACTCCTCTGTTATCTTTCATATTTGCATGTCACACACTACTAACAAGGGTGCAATTCATCTCAGTTTATTCAAAGGTGAAAGTTTTATGTTATGATTCTGAGTGGGGGGAAAAATAAGTACAAAGGGTATGCGATTATGATCTTTCACTGTGACTGAAAAATTAAAGATAAGGGACATGTGGGAACACAGTTCACCTGGATTGGTTGAAAAGAGTTTCAAAAAGTGTGGCATCTCAAATAGCCTTGATGAGCCAGAAGACAATTTCATTTGGTACAATGATGATGGGGGCACGCGGTAGCGTAGTTGGTTGAGAGGCTATGCTACAAGCAGGAAGGTCATGGGTTCCAGTTCCGATGAGGTCACTGGATTTTTTCATTTGACCTAATCCTTCCAGCAGCACTAGGCCCCAGGGTTTACTCAGCCTCTAACAGAAATGAGTACCACGAATTAATTAAATAATTTTCCTGTGGAGTAAAGTGCAGCTGGTGCGTAAGGCTGACAACCTTACTGCTATCTTTGAGCCAATTGTCTAGATAATGTGGGACCCTCAATGTCTGACAACCCTATGGGCCTTCACGGCCTGTTAGGGGATAGCTTTACTTTTACTTTTACGATGATGATGACCTTGTGAGCTCTGGTGATGACAAAACCAATGGAGAATAAAATGCTGTAGATACATAATCTTTGTTTATAACAAACACTAACAGTGTTTGGTCCTTAGTTAAGGTTTAATATTCGAAAATCTTTTTAAACATTTTCTGCTTTTGTTGTCTTAAAAATGTGGGTGCATGGCTTATTCAATGGTGCAGGGTGACTGAAAAAAATATGGTACATAAAGATGCACAACATAATGCACCATTCATTCAGTACTACTGCAGGTTCAAAGTTCCAAACCTTGCAATTAAGTAAGTTCTACTTACAAAATTTTCATTTTAATAAAATACAAAATTATGCAAGTCACTTTACTTAATGATCTACAACATTTAGTTCAGTTCGAAACTTTAATCTAAAAATTTTGTCACAGCATGAAACACATATCTGCTATGGTCCAAGATTTCAGTATTGAGAACCAGCAATTCAAAACACATTACAAACTCAAAATATGCTGTTTTAAGAAAATATGTAATTCTCTCAACTGACAGGTTACATTCAAACTAGGCAACTATGTCACAATTGCCTGAATACAAATTTGGTAAGATAAAGGTAAAGCTATCCCTGTAACAGGCCACGAAGGCCCATAGGGTTCTGAGACGTAGAGGCTCCCACATTTTCTCTAGACAATCAAATCACAGATACTGATAAGGTCATCAGCCTTATGCGCCAGCCATCCTTTACCCCGCAGGAAGATTCTTGGTACTCATTTCTGTTAAAGGCTGAGTCAATCCCAGGGCCAAAGTGCAGCTGGAAGGATTAAGGCAACTGAAAAATCCACCTCATCAGGACTAAATCCACAACCTTTCAACTTGTAGCATAGTGCCTCAACCAACTATGCTTGCTTAGTTGTCATAACTGTCTGAATACAAATTTGGTTGGCTGACATAATGTTTGTTTCAACATGAGGAAAACATTCACCTCAGGGGCATGTCACCTACAATCTTCTGAGTTCAAAGACTTATAGTTGCATAAAACTGTCAAAAAGGAAACAAGCTGGTGCCTTGATGTCACAAAATTGACACTTAAATATCACACTGCCTGTGCAAGACAAAGCAATACAATGTTATAAAAATTACACTCATAGCTTAACTGATGACCAAATATATGTAAATAAATAAAACTGGTAAAAATTAAAATAATTATAAATAAATGTGCAGTAATTACTTAAATAAAAATATATTAAATATTTTGAACGGTGACAATCTATAGGTGCAAATTTCTGGAAAACTCATGATGCGTCAAGAGACAGGATAATAGTGAATAATGCACTGTAAATGATGTGGAAGGGAGTGATTGTGGCATAGTTCGAGGCACTATAACAACATCTGCCAGATGAGGCTGAGAAGTATGAAAAACTGGAGTCATGACAGTCACAAGGTTGTGACTTTGATCACTGAACTCTTGAATACAAAGTAAGGATCCTCATCACTTAACTACAATATTTGGTGTCTATTTTCTAGTGACCTACTTTCATCATGAGGTAACAATTCACTTGGTGTAGGCAGTCTCAGTGGAGGATCAGAAAATCCTTGAAAATTGACAAAATGTGAATGTGACATTCCTTGTTGATGATCACGAGTCGTGAAGATTCTCTGCAACAGAGCAAGAAGAAATAGTATGTAACCATTATATATAAGAAATCAACTGACCAGTACTAAAATACCATTAGAAATATGGCAGAAAAATCTGGAACCATGAAAAGAAGGACGGTCATTACCATACTGAAATTATGTTGGGCACTGTAAATAGCCATCTATATTAACTATATACATATATACAGCTCTAACTACTAAACAATTACATCAGCAACTCCTAGGAGTGGAGTCCTTCTTAAGAACCTCACACATTCTCAAATAGCCAGGATATTCCATAATCTGCAGGACCCAAATGTTCATTACAATGTTTACAAGAGCATGCCACTGGCCCCTACACTAGGCCAAACATGCTCCCACTTATTTACTTAATATATATTTTAGTACTACCTGCTCTATGCTTCAGTGTTTCCTTCAACCATTCTGGCCAAAATTTTATACACATTTCTCCTATTTCCCATGATTACTACAAGTAGTGGACACCTCATCCTCCCTGTCACAATTACTCCAATATCTAGTGCAGAGTACAGAACTATGAACATCCAAATTAAGAAATTTTCTCCAGATTCTTGTTACTTCCTGCCTCTCAGGTCCAAATATTCTCCTTTGGACCCTGTTCCAAAATGTTGCTCTTTGTGAGAAAGATAAGTTTCATACTTACACAAATAACGAAAAAAATATATTTTAATCTTTGTTTTTCTACAGATGTGAAGATTATGAACTAAATGGTAATACGCATTCTCTGAATTTAACCTGACCTGAATTACTTTATGAATGTATTTGTAATTTGTTACTGTCATCCCTAAACATGACTCATTTTAAAGGTTNCCATCCCCACCATTAGCCCGGATAATCGAGAGTTGACTGTATCTACGCAGTATGGTTTTGACTCCCTACATTCATGCAATGAGTCAAGGCAATATGCTTAGTTTAGCCTGTGTTTACTTCTAGACCAATTTCCTTACTAGCAGCCAATAGAGCTTCCGTATTAGCAATAAAAAATAATAAGAACAAGCACCATTCAGATAAATCCCACATACTTGGCACCTCCACCATTTTATACTGTCAACTGCATAGCCCTCTGTTGGTAGAGGTGATAAAATATTGTGACATGTTGCGCAAAGGAGAACCCCTCCCACCAGCAGTGACGCGGAGGGTGAGTCAGCGCTCCCCTCCCCCTCCTCCGCATGGTAACGTAACGGTGACGCAACAGGATTGTTACGGTAGTAACAGCGGTTACTACCGCTAGCGTTGCTAGCAACACAGCGCCAGGCAACAAGGGTGCTTATTACGTGGCCGTTTTCAGTATTGTCCGATCGAGGCTACATGAGGAGCAGCGAAGGCTATTCACAGTCAGTTGTACTGTGACAGTCGCCGAGTGTGTTATCAACAGTTCTCACGGCAGCATCTTGCGAGCAGAGTTGGAATCTAGCCAGCGGCGTGTTACGAGTGAAAGTGTGTAATTCAGGGAGACTTGTATAGCTCCCGCGTTATTAGTACGTGAAGACAAGTGAAGATCGTGTTAAGAGATTTTGTTGTAGGGTTTGTAAAGTGTGGAAACCCGTAATATTGTGATAATTAATTGTAGCCGTTATTTGTAGATTGTTAAATAAACCAATTAACCATCTCTACGGCGTCTTCTGTAACGAAACACGTTACAATATATTTAAAATTGTGAGAAAATTATAAGAAATATAAGTACTTCATCCATACACAATGAAATTTCAAGAAATTCGAATAAAAACATAAAATGAAAAAGATAAAATTTTAGTAGAAATTTTTCCATGTTCAGGTATCTGGAGGCGGGTCCTGAAACTGTTTATACCACATAACATTCCAGTGGTTGGCTTTTACTTCTATTTTTTCAGGCAACTGTCATTATACTGACTAATACTTGATGTAGAAGCAAGTATTTGAAGTGCTCTGGATTTCATTGGAACCAACATAAAAAATACTTCAGTTTAACGAAAATCAACTGAAGATGGAAGTGCAGCTAACTGCTGAAAGGAACCACATATTACATTTACTTCCAACACTGTCCAAGGTTCAGTGAACGGATATGATACTGACATGCAAACAAAAGCATTTATCAAAAAGTTCTAAAAGTTCAAGAATGAAAACTAACATGTACACTGAGACTGAGAAATTCTTTTCCTTGACTCAATCTAAAAAATTTGAGGCTTGCACATGTCTGCCTATAACATAAGAGGTGATGGGAAAGGAAGGCATGGCAGCAGAAGGATGCAAACATTTCCTATTCCATGACTGCACATTATATACATAAATAACAACACAGAAAGTTCTATTTTAAATGTATCTTAAAATTCACCTGGAACACACGTTCTCTCCAGTTACCAGAACAGAACTGAGTCACCCGATCCAGAAACTGGCTTCTACGTTCACGAACCATGCTATGTAACACATGACCTGTGAACAAAGTCCAAAATTATTGTCACATATACTGCAGATGCATAATTCCACACGGCTCCAAACCAAACTAATTTGAACATATTTGCCTTCTTCATCAACGAATATAAAGACACAGTCACATTCCATCTGTTACTCTCCCATACTCACATAAAGCAAAGGTTACATGAGACTGGACAACAGCACCTATGTGAACTGTTCTAGCCCCAAAAGACATTACCAAAGCCCACTTAGCAATGCCACACAAAGCACTCGATCACTAAATTCCTTAACAGCCTACTGACTCAGAGTATGAAAAATGGCTCCAAGCACAGATGTTTGAAGCAAAATTAAAGTACAGTGGAAGTCCAGTATAATGAGAATTCAAAATAGCAAGAAAAACTGACTCTATGATCAATAATCATTCAGCCAATGCAAAACAAGGAAATGTATAAATCATTCCAAAATCAAACAGTGAACATCTGTGGTCATCTCAATGTACCCAGTGAAACACTGCACACTTCAAAGGGACTTCAGCTATTCTGTATAGCCAAACTATGTATGAATCATAATGCCAAATCAGGAACTTGATAGAGAAAAGAAAAAAGAAAAACTCTATTATCAGCAAACAATCTTCCTTCAGATTCCTTACATACAACAGCAGGAACCTACTTATTTATGGTATACAGTAAAAATCCCAACTAAGGTGTCTCTGGTGAACACTGGACATGATTATTAAAATTGACAAAAATATTAAATGGAGGAAATTTAACACTGAGATTACGGACCAAGGATCACTGAAATGTAATATTAAATAAGTGAAAACCTTAAATTGAGGTGCATTACATGTGGGTTCCTCTGTATTTCACCATTCTGTCAGCAGCTCACATTTTAGAGCAATAAAGGGCATGACAAGTAACATTTTGTTTGCAGTGCCACTTATATCTGTTTTCACTGTGATAGCACATGATTTATGCTGCGCTGACATGCAGAATAACAAATTAAAGGTACCCACATTCAAGTACAGAATGACACTGAAGATGTAAATATTACAAAGTAAACACTCATTCGCCAGTCACGGTAGCCAAGCAGTCTAAGGCATGCACTGTCTTCGCTCGCTCGGAAACCGGGATCATGGGTTTGAATCTCACTCAGGGCATGGATGTTTGTGTGCATTTTTCTGTGTGTGTGTACAGGTAGAGGCCTTGCGACGAGCTGATCACCTGCCAAAGGAGTCCTACTGTATGTCTAAGATCTAGTAAAACTGAAGTGAAATGGAGACTTTCATGGAGGTAGGCCTAGGCCCACTGGGGCTGTAGTGCCGGGAGGGGGGGGGAAAAAAAAAAA